ATTGATGACGTTTCACCTTTTGGGGGCAGAGGATGAAGCAAGTAACTGTGACTGCTTTCAGGACTATAACTCAAATGATGGTTTGCTTTTTTAAAGAACATCATTTTGTCAGTCCTGATGTGTAAAATACATTTGCTAGGGTTAAATTCAGACTGGAAATCATCTGAAAAGAATGAAAAATATTTTGAGAAGAGACTAAGCCATGAGATACCAATCTTTGAGGACACACATTGGTTTGTAATTCTTAGTACCAAATCCCAGATTTCAACATGGAGGTCACTTAGTGAGAAATCACCAGAACCCACAACCTAGCCTGTGACTATGTCTAGAACAGTGTAGAAATTATCCTGCACTACAGCAGAAAATAAACCAGAAACTGCATTTGGTCTTTCTATGGGAACTCAATCAAATCCGCAGCCAGTAGGCAGGCACCCTAAAAAGCAGGAGGTAGAGTTTAGACAAATGAACTCTTACTTGAGGAAAGCTGTAGTGTGGATAAATGAATTTCCCTGGCTTAACTGGAAAAACAGAAACTAGTTTGTAAGAAAAAGGCAGGGTATTTTTTGAAGAGGCCTTTTTTTCCCCCCCTAATGGTTTACTGGTTATGACTTTACATATAGAAATTTCACCTTTATAGTTTATCTTGCCTGGAAAAAAGAAAAAAAATAGAGGGGTAGGAAAAGACATTTGAATTTTGAAAATCACCACAATCTATCTGCATTTTAATTTGAAATTTGCATTTTAAGATCGACCATTTTGCTTTTAATTTGCCGCTTTTTAGGGTTTCTACTGTGACAAGCTTGCTTCAGTGCCTTGTGGGGCAGCAAATATTGGGAAAACTCAAGCACAGGAGCCTCTGAAATGCTGCTTAAGCTAACTGTACCAGTGGCAGATGTCTCAGGTTCAGAATTACCAGCCACATAATTACAGTCTCTTAGTACTTTTCTAGTGCTTTTAAGTGTTTTTCAGAGGGTTAAATACTTGAGAGACACTGGAGATGGAGAAATACAGACCATAAAATTTAATGCTAAGCCATCATACTCTCTACTACCAATTGAAGATCATTCAGAAAACAGGATAAAAGGATCTTCAACACCAATATGTCTATCAATGAGACGCTTTTTGGTACTTGACTTAGACAAATCTGATTTACATACACTTTTTCAGGAATATATCTGTTGTGGTAAGGAGAGATAGTTATATTAAAGTTATCGCCACACCTTCTGCAGGGCTCAATACTTTGTCCTTCCACTGCTTAAAACAGCAAAATTCTGACACCTCTTTGGCTGCCAGGGCACTTGACTAATTTGTCACAACAGTGACTGTGAGGAAATTGCCAAGAGTTGGCAATTTTGGCTGGGGGGCCACTGGATCTATGTAAAATAACCCTGTTCTTCAGAGTTCCATATTTACCTTGCCATGACTGCACAGAACTCACCAATGCTTCTCCAAGGGATTCAAATGCTACTCAGCTTTCACTGATATCACCATTATTTTTATGTAAATGAGCCACCCCATCTTGCAAACTTCATTTTTATGTTCTGGTCTTTTTATCATTGGCGGAATATATATATATATGTATATATTGCAGATTTTACCTTTTAGAGAGAATGGGATATTTTCTCCTCATTCCTGTATAATTTCAGACTTGTTAGATTTAAGTTTCAAGTGATAAGAATCTGGCCTGCCCTTTAACTACTGCAGAGATAACTTAACCAGGATGAACCATGCAGTTATTAACATAATTGGCATAATAGTTCGCATTTATGTAATTACTTTTATATGGCTCATTTCTGAAAACAATTTTTAAATATGTTTGCAAATTCCAATTCTGCTTATCTTCACAAAGCAAACTTTAGATCTTGAAACCAGTTATTTTCTGCAAAGAAAAATGCTGATTTATTTGAAGCATGAAATTATTTTTCATTTCCATTTTATTATCTTGTTCAATTTTTAAATTTAGTAAATAATAAACAGCAAATCCTTTGTTTTCTATTGGTCAGCTACAATGATCTGATGGTCATTTGTAGATTCCCTCTCCAGAGCAGTTTTTAATGCCTACCACATTCGTGTTGATGATTCGTATCAATTAGCATCAATTAGCACAATTCTCAGAGGACTGAAATTTTCGGAGTTTCTGATTCTTGCAATTTCAGGGCCAGCAGTTCTTTCTCAGAAGGAAGCGGCCATTCTTTACACATGAACAAAAATGGTACGTCTATGGTGTTACATATTAGCTATTGAGTGTGTTAATTGATGTAATTAGACAGAGTAAGGGGCACATACATTTTCAACATATATATGTATATATATATGTATATATACATATATATATAACTTTTAAGACATGATATTAGCAACTCTGCTAGCATACTGATGAAGCTGGGGGAGGGGCAGTCAGAGCTCGAAAACTCTTTGGTATTTGCTAAACTAAGATAAGGCACCCAGGTGGCACCACAGTGCATTGAGCACAGGGCTTGGAATCAGGAAGACTCATTTTTATGAGTTCAAATCTAGCCTCAGACACATACTAGCTGTGTGACCCTGGACAAGTCACTTAACTATGTATGTCTCAGTTCTTCAACTGTAAAATGAACTGGAGAAGGAATTGGAAAACCACTCCAGGATTTTGCCAAGAAAAGTCCAAATGCTGGGACTTGACTTAATCCACCTTTTCTCCTCAAATACAATGGAATTAGCTTTCTGAAAGGAATAACCATTTTAAATGACAAAGAAAGGTGATTAGTAGTGAAAAGTTGTGCTCAGAGGTGGCATCCTCAACTAAGTCAACATGCCAGTTAGTGGCGAAAGTGTTTTGGCCACCTTCCAAGAGGTCTGGAATAGTCTGGGCGCTGATGACTCCAGGGACCCAGAGAGGAGAGTTGTCAACCACCAACCTCCTGGGACCACAGCCCTGCTCTATCCCACTCCCATTCCTTTCCCTGCAGTCGAGGCAGGAGCACCTACTCAGAGCCCTGGGATCACATCTTGGAGAATTTGTGGGTTCACAAGTGAATGAAGAGGAGTTATGAGAAATAGGAATAGTTTAGGGAGATAAGTCCAGGGATGAGTTCCTGGGCAGCACAAGCCTATTTATTTGGGAGCCGCTGCTGGTCAAAATATCTTCTTACCTTGTCTGAATTTTTCATTTCACATTGTAATAGTTTCCTGCTAATTAGAGCCTCATTCGTGTTAGCAAGCATCCTCTCTTAAAAAGGTCAAGACCTTTCTCTGAGAAGGCTTAGGTGCAACCCTATTAGTTTGATAAGATTGCTGGCTTTCTAAAGGTTTGGGTGCTGGAGAGAGAAGGGAGGTGGGGAACTCTGGAGTTAGGAGATTGATCTGGGATCTTGGGGCAGCATGAGGGGATTAGAGAGGGCAGGAAGGATTATTTTAAAAGGGAGGTGAGATGGTGCCAAAGACAAACGGGATTTAAAAACCTTTGCCTAGGGTCAGCCTTCTGCCCAGGGAGGGGAGAGTATATTTCTCTTTTCTTAGTTTTTTATCACAAAGCTCCCTGCTACCAGGACTCAGAATCAAGTTAGTACTCTTGAGTGTTACAGCACTCAGAGTACTAACTTGATTCTGAGTGGTCCCAAACTCAACTGTCTTTTTAAAAGTTTATGTAACTATTATTAATGTAAATACTTGTTTTTCACAAAAACATTTACATAAGATGCTGGTATCACCTTCAAAAGGATTTGTAATATGAAGGCTGCAAATCTTTGAAGTAGCCCTGAACTGCAGGCTTGAAATTAATCAGGCTAACCTGAGATCTTAACTACCACTTTAACATGATTTTTTTTGGGGGAAATGCATTTTGCATTAAAAACAACTGACTTATAAATGACCTTCTGAAATACTATCCATTTGTAAATTGGGGACTTCCTATATTGGGGTCCCACTGGTTGATTGTCCAATATTTTTGACTTGGACAGTAGCATGAAGCAATTAATTTTACAAGAATGGATTGTGGCTCTTGCGTTTGCTATGTGCTCTGATGAGCACACCACCACAATGCCACTAACCCTACCATATCTGAACACAGATAATCCTGTATATTTCCAGGCATTCTATGAATGGTTTGTCCAGATCTCTTGCTAATGGCCTCTGGTGTGGTAGAGAAGAAGCACAGTTACCGAACCTTTATGGTATTTTTACCCAAAAGGCCAGTCTGGCTATACCAGCCTCTTTCAGACTCTTTATGCCATTTTGAAAAAACAAAATTGAAGTCCTACAGTCAACATGTAGTCTTTCAACCTTGTCAATATTCACAGTAATTCAGCAACCATTGAATCCTGTAAGAAAGCAGGGGATCCTGTACTTCAGTAATCCTGGGCTCCTGGCTCTATCTCATTCTGCTGAGTCACAGTTAAAAAACACTGTACCTGGTATATATGTAGGTGCTTAATAAATGTTTTGTTCAATTAAAATTGCTTGGTTCAGGGTGATAAAGTGGTTCTCTGTCGACTTAATTCCATGTAATAGAACTCCAGTGATTCATATGGTATTTATCTGTTTCCGCTTCCCCATTCTCCAGAACTAAGTTTCTAGTACTTATATCCTATCTTCTGCATGAATTCTTTTTTACAGAATCTCAAACTCACAGCTCTATACATCAGGGCACTAATTTACTTTTTCTACACCCAAACCTCAAACTTGAGGAAGGAATTTTCAGGCTGGTGTACATTCCGTATCAGAATGCAGTCCCTATTGGCTAAAAAAAAGGGCTCATTCATACAACAAATATTTATTAATTATGAGTTATGTGCAAGAGCGTGTTTTTGGTGATATTGGAGATAGAGAAAACTACAAATGGGCCTTTCCTCCCGGTAGTTTCCACTCTGACAGTTTGATAATTATTAATAAACATTAAACAAATAAATAATGACATGTAAAGAAATCTGAGTTCTGAGAGATTCAAATGTAAAATCCAAGAATCTCCCAACTTTGGAGACTTGTGGGGTTTAGGAAAAAAGGGGTGTGTGAGAGGCTACCGAAGTAGCAGAGAAGAGTCAGAACAGCGCTGCATGTAAGCATATAATGGGTCTAGACATTAGCTGTCTCTTCTTACTAAAAATATTTTGAAACTTATTCTATTGATTCTTTTTTTCTAACAAAAAATTTTTCAATTTTGTATAGAAATCAATGAGGAAATAGGATTCCCTGGGTAGAAGTTGGTTTTGTAGTTCATTTTGCTGCAGGGCAGCTGCTCCACAGAGCATTGCTATCTATACCATGAGATTTACTTGGACAAATAAAAAGTCTAGCATTTTCTCTGAATAACTGAAGTAAAACCTTTACTCCTTAGTGATAGAATATCTAGCATCTTACGGCTCATTTCCAAAGGTGCAAACAGAACCTCACTGAGAACCTCTTTCTGACTAAAGAACAGATTTTAGCAGCAGGGAAACAATCCCTGCTTGTGCCTTGAGGAATGACAGTCATTTGTGGGTAGTTCATCTGTTGAGGGCAGGAATTACGCCCTGTTCACGTCTGTATCTTTCATGGTGCCCTTCACATACCAAGAGCTCAACAAATGAACAGTTTTCCCCTGGGCTCCTTCAATCCCTTGGCCTCTGTGGGAAGCTAGGGGAAAAGGAGACTAGAGACTTTCCCTGAAGCCAAGTGGCTGGGAACAGAGACACCATCAACTCATGTCCCTGCAGAATCAGCCCTGATCTGGGGCAGAGTCTGCACTGACCAATGAGAACCAGAAATGCTGGTTCCCCTTCCTCTCACCTTTTAGTTTAGCATAATAGTTTCTACTTAGGTACCACTTTTTAGTTGGGGATCTCAAAGCAGTTAAAAATATAAAATGGTTGCTTTTCCTAACCGCCCACCGCTCTGGTAAAGAAATTTAAACCATGAATTTTTCATAACTTCCTCAAGTTAATTTTCTTCTGTTTCCCCTTCTCCATTCTCCAGAACTAAGCTTCTAATAAGTATATCCTATCTTTTGCATGAATTCTTTTTTTACAGAATCTCAAACTCAAGCTCTATACATCAGGGGACTGAATTACATGTTTTAAGGCTTTTGATGAGGTCTTTCCTTTCTGATTTCTTTATGTGCTAAGTTGTTGCTGTAACATGAGATGACCTCTTTAAGTTTTAGAAACAGTAGCACAGCTAGTAGCTCTTTAGATGATGTTGGAGGTTTCTCAGCACTTCCCCATGGTTCCCCTTTGGCTAGTCCAACCAACATACTCTACTAGTTCAATGCTACAGGGGCGTACTAAATCAGGAATAAACTGGTTATGACATAGGTTGGAAAATCAGTCCTTGGTGAATATAATTCAGTAGTCAAACTCAGAAACAGAAAAAAGCGAAGCAGATAGGCATCAATGCCAACCACAAAGTGGTATGCACGTTACATGATGTTAATTCACCTCACTGTGTAGTTGTGTCTGCCTGTGAGTGACAAACATATCCCTCATTCTTGGCAACTTATTGTGTAGTTCAGTTTGCCCAAGATGAGAAAGATGACCTTGCTTCTTTACCTACAGATGTTCTACGTTACCCCTCTATAACGCTATAACAAAGCGGATTAGACGAGCTCTCCTCAAATTACTACTGTCGGCACGACTGCAGAGAGTAGGTCGTCATCTCTTAGCTTCTTTCCGTCCTCTTGAATCTGGCAGGTTAGACCTATTCTAGGGGCTCTAGGGTGCATACCTTATAAGCACAAGCTCATTGCCTCTGAGAATATTTTGTGCAGCACTACGCATCTCTAACACAGCATGGGATGGAGCAGTAGCTTTTGCCCAGAGTCGCGGCAGACTACTGCATGGCACTTTCGGTTTAATTATCCTGTGTCTCCTCATTTCTCTTTGTCACTCACTCCCTTCCCTCCTCTGCTGTGACTGGGAGACTACCCAGTTCCGCTTGCTCAGAGTATTCCTTGCAACAAGTCCGCTGCGTGCGTGGTAACTTACTAAAAACTAGTTGCGTGGAAACCTCCCGGGTCTTGGCTTATGTCTTCATGTTGTTGGTGGTGGGCTTCTTTCCTCTCAACAGTCTTTCAGCTCCACAGCAGGAACCCTGAGGTTTTTAAAGTTCTTCACTTTCCACCATACTCTGAGAAGAGCACGAAAACATCATTGTACTTTCCATAGATGAGAAGGCCGAAAAAATGTCAAGTCCTTTGCTGGTGAGGGATCCGTAGCGGCTGCCACTGGGTCGTACTGACATGGGCTGTGGAATCTGCTGGTGCCACTGGGCTAGAAAATCAGTAAGAGAACATGTTAGGCTCAGTTGCATTCAGGCTGGTCTAGGATATGGGAAGAAGGGATGTATGAGGAACGTAGATTCTAGTCTCTGACTTAGCCTTCTCATGTCTAGGCTTCAGAAGACATTGTGATTCTTATATTGCAGATGAGGTGGTTAAGCAGGATCTCTTTTGGCATCATTGGCCCCTCTATAAACTAGGGGTAAAAGTGCTTGGCCTGCCAAAGTCAAGATCAGATTTTTTTTTCTAATTCTATGATTCTAATATAAGAAGGCAGCAACAAACTATAAAAAAAAGACAGACTGCTGTGACTAAAGGGATACTGGAAGCATGCCAGAAAAATCTCTCTCTTCTCCCTTGTACTCCAACCTGGCCTTCCATAGTACCTATGGCTTTAGTCACTCATTTTGTGGCTACAATCAAAGAAGGAGGGAGTGATCTCTGGGGCAAGAGGGCAGCAGCTGCAGCCCAAAGCCCCAGTGCAAAGGCCAGCAACTCTCACAATTAGAGGCTGTCCATAGGCAAGTTGTCAAAACAGAGAAAGCCTGAACTGGTTAGTTCATCACATTGTGATACCTGAGCCGAGCTTTAGAAAGAAGAAGAAAAACAGAGCCAGCTGAACCCTCTGGGGCAGAGCATTCTGGCTGCTGGGAGCTGCTTCCTGGATGACTTTCCTTGGAGGCCTCTACTTGTCTTGCCTTGTGTTGTCTGGGGAAAAGTGTTGGGCATTGGGTTGGACCATAAGGTGCTTCAAGTATTAAGGCAAAGACTGTACGAAAGGACTGGGCAGTGATAACTTTTGTCATGGTCAGGAAGAGCCTGCTTGTACCTTCTGATAATTTCTATGTTTTCTTAGGGGTATCAATGGGACAGATCTGGGGATCCTTGTAGTCAGAGGTCCTAGGATCCTGTCACATTTGGGCCAAGGGATTGCATTTCCAAAATGAAAATACACAGGTACACACAGGTGGGTCCCACACAAACATTAAGCCACTAAAATATCCCTAAGAATTAGTTTAGCAGCAGATTTCTTTGGAAAATAGAGAGGAGAGTCTAAAGGCTCAAGACACAAGTTAGGAAAACATTGATGGGGGAACAGTCAGAAAAGGTCCGTAGAATGCCCTGCTGCCTAGGAAGAGCAGGCTTATCCAGGGCTCCGTAGCGAGGCAGCCCTGAGCAAAGCACCAAGAGACTAGATTTCAGAAGGGAAGACAGATAATCAAAGTGAGGTGTACCTGGATGGAATTACAAGCAAACGTGTAATTTTGCTTAGTAATCTTGTCTAGGGTTGGACACATTCAAAAATTCCAAATGCTAACTCTTAGTGTGGTCAGAGAGCGAATGCTGAAACAGTTTGGGCAGATCTGCAATCAGGGTGGCATCATGCCTACGGGGAACATCTTGAGGACTCCAGCAAGAGCACTTCCAGGATCCGTGCTTTACTGGGGTCACACACGATCTCTGAGCCTCAGCCCACCTTTCTCTGGACTCTATGGAAGAGTATGTCACATACTTTTGTGGGAATGTTTTATACCAAATGATCTTACTATACCACCTGAGTAAACACCCCTTTTTAAAAACCACTTAAGCCTGATTAACTAATTTACATGAACCAGTTATCATGTGGGAAGCATGCTGCTTGGGGCTTATAAGCCATAGCTTTAGATAAACAACTTCCAACCCCTCAAGGAGGGTGGTACCACAGAACTTTAAGAGGGCACTGTGGCCACATTCTGGGGACAAAACTCATCAGTGTGAGTGTGCGCTGAGATAAGGACTCTAAGAATCTACATGCACTAGACAAAATAGTTAGTATCAGAGTAACATAGTCAGCACCAGTCATTTCTGTTTCTATCAAAAATCCCTCCATATTTTAGTGCTTTAAAAAGCTTATAAATATAAAGGGATATTCATGTTTTGGCCACTAGATGGCATATATCTAGCTGTAACAAAGCTCTCACTTGTGGAAAAAAAAATCTTATCTTGTCAGATTCAAAAAACAGCAATTAAAGATATAATGTGAGCAGCCTCTTAGTGCTTTCCTAAGGAATGTTGGCTGGTGTAGCAAAATTGACTGATTTGAGCCTTATTTCACTGTCAATAATTTACCGGTACTTGTAGGTAATTTGTGGGTACCAACTGAGGGAATACTCATTCTGGTGAAATCATGAATCTTTGAAGCACCACAGATGATTCACAAATTGGATAATCAGCCACTTTTTGTTTTCCTTAAATAGCTGTCTGACTCATAATTCTTCAATTCAAGCTCTCAAGGGTGCAGAAATTACATAAAAGCAAAGATGCTTTGGTAGCTAGGTTGAAAACACTTTGAAAAATCTAGTTTCTAGAATGAAAAACCTAATCTGACCAGGTCCTTAGTGGAAAATAAACAAGCCACCTGCTATAACAACTATTGGCTAAATGACTAAATGCTATGCATTCCTTCTGGCTGGCTGTCTTAAAACAAGCTCATTAGTCCCACCATAGATATCCAGTCTTGCAGTACATGACACGATGCCAGCTTCATTCTTGGCAGACAATGTGTACCATCCGGCATCTGCTTTCTTGGCTGGCTGGATGAGGAGGCAGACATAACCTGTTGTATCTTGGTGCATGCTGAAAAAAGAAAAACAAAATCTTTCACCAGGAGATAGTGCAGTACCTTTGGGCATAGGCTTCGAGGTGATCCCTAGCACACATCCCATTTTGATCTCCAGATTTTTTATGTAGGTGAAATCAGAATGAGGGCAGCATGGCATAATAGATAGAGGAGGGTCTTGGAGTCAGGAAGATCGAAGTTCAAGTTCAGCCACTGACCTATATTAGATGTATGACCATGGCCAAGTTGTTAAACCTCTCAACACGGAGGCCACTCCATAAGTATTAACCTACAAATCTTTGCAGGTGGAAGAAGTGTCCACATTGGGAATTCCCCCATTCTGATGCAATCACATGTTTTCCCCCTTCTTCCTACTACCAAAAATATTAAAAAATCAGGTTTAGGTAAACATCAATGACACCCTTAAAGAAGAAGTCACAAAAGTCTGGAGGAAGTAAGACACAGTGGTATGGAACAGCCACCTCTGTTTCCCACCTTTTCCACCTTAGATCTCCTAGTCTGTATTTGCTTCAGCTCCCTTAGCTTCCCCTAACATCCTGGGCTGAGGCAACCACTTTTTGTCCTTGTAGTCGCAGCTGCTGTCCACAGTAGGGACTCATTCAATCCTTGCTGAATGAATGGCACCTGGTCACTGTGAGTTTATCACATATCTCACACAGTGAGGAACAGCCCTTTTCTACTCACACTCATGGAGGACAAAGACCATTTCATTTCTGTCTTTACAGCTTAAATGCTTAGCATAGTGTCTGGCATACAGTAGGTGCTTAATAAATGCTTATTGAGTTGAGATGAGGTTAGATTTTTCCTAAAAGAATTTCTGCTAGGAAATCTGGGAAAAGAAAATAAAGATAGAATTCTGCATAGAAAGAGACTCAGAGGACACAGATTTTTTTAATAAACTTATTTACAACTGAAGTCTAGCCATAGCATGGCTTGACTAATGCAGTATCCTCAGCCTCCGTTTAGAGAGAAAGGGTGGATATTCAACGAGGCAGCTTAGACTTTTAGTTGACAGGTGTACATGTATTTGTGCTGGTAGCATGCTCAGTTTCCATCCAGATGTGGGTGCGTACCCAGCTGGTCTCCTCTGCCTCCAAAGGCACTTGATACTTCATTCTGCTGCCCCCTGTCCCCCTCCCCAGCCTCTCCCCATGAGGAAGGCACTTCCCTATCTGGCTCCCACAGAGCTGACCCTTGTATTCAGGTCATCCTACGCTAACTTCCTCAATGGCTAGGTGACTGTAGGACTGGGTCCTAGGATTCCTATCTCTGTCCCTTCCTTGCCTCTTTTTCTCCAAGCTATTTGTTTTTGTTTTTTGAAAGCCCATTCACTAGCTGGTGGTTGAGCCTAGTACGGCTTGACTTCTTCACCCTCTGTATCTAGCTTGCCAACCCCCATTGATGGATACCTTATTTCTTCTCTTGGAATTTGTCTGCATCCTGCCAGCTCCTCCTAAGCGCCTGAAGCACACTCCTTGTCTCTGTGCCAAAGCTCATTCATTTTTCTTTGCTGGGTCTGCCCACCAAAGCTGTTTCCTGACTGAAGGGGGCATCCAGCTCTTAGCTCATGTGCAAGACAGAGGTGACAGACAGATCAAGATTTTCCTAGCTCAGGTGACTAGCTCCACCCACTGGCTTCAAACTGGCTTCACTCAGGTACCACTTGCAAGGAGGAGGAGACCTTCCAGAATTCTATCACTATAATTCTAAAATAGAGAAATTACACAATTTTTTTAAGGACATGAGAAGAAAAAGGACATTTTCTCATGGCATGGCATGTATAGAAAAGCTGACTATATACAGCTCCTTTAACAACAGCTGGTCCTGTCTTTCTTACCAGTCATGCAAAGCACTGTCCTTCCCCGGGATCCCCCCCAGCAGGGAAGACTTCCCACAGAGTGGGTAAGGAGAAGGGGAGAGGCTCCTCATTATATAGAAGGGAAGTCTAGTCTTTCCTAAAAGCAGTGATTTGGGTCACACAATTTTTTTCCAACAAAACCACATTTTAGTTTTGGAGCTGAAAAGATTAAGAAGGGCAAAGACACATCAGTTTATGCATGCTTTCTCTAACCTAGTTTACTGTGTTTCCTATAGCACAAATCAGGTCCTCTCCAGTTCTCTTTAGTTTTGCTAATAAAAGCAATTTTATTTTTATTTTATGTAATTTTAAGATGGCAAAATATGAAAATATCTTAAAAGCTGTTTAGTTCTAAGAGTCACATCCTGCCATTCTGAAGAAAATACTTTTTGGTCCTCTTGGGGCCCATAGTCTTGTGCATTTCCACTTGGATTCTGGACCCTTTGAGAAGGTGATTTCTGTTCTTCTTGCTGTCCTGCCCCTTGTGGCTAAGGGCTGGAATAGTCAAGAAATAAGGTTGTTGAGACCAGGAAGCCCATACACATGCATGCGTGGGTCTTTTCCAATGAGTAGAAGGGCTTAGTGTAGAGAAAATAGGTTTAGACTCTTTAAACATTTTTTGCATTTTATTCTTTTCAGTGTCTAACAAAGTTCCTGAGGATTTTATTGATTATTTATTGCAAAGAAAGGTTTTCATAAGACACTTTTAAGTATAGGCTCTAGGGGTGTAGTGGATAGAACACTGGAGTCAGGAGGACCTGAATTCAAATCCAGTTTCGACAAGTCACTTAACCCCATTGCCTAATCAAAAAAAAAATAATGTAAGTATAGGCTATGTATGAAGGTGGCTGGCATTGGTCTGCACTACCTAAGATCTAATCATTTAGGATTGTGGGCATGATACAAACAATTGACAAATCACATTTAAAAGCAAGTTTGCTCATGTTTAGGACAACTACATTGTCCCCCTGTGCAAAATGAATTCTTATTTTGGGTTCTGCACAGATGAAAAAAAGAGATGAAGAAAGTATATTGTGTGCTATGGCTCCGAGAAGATTCATCACTCCTTACCAAAAAGATGCATTTCAGAGAAATTCAATTTCTTACTGAAAGCAGCTGAACAATGAAGAAGCTTAGAGACTTGGAAGCATTGGAAATACATAGTATTGGGAGGACCAGCAGCTGCACAGATGCTTTAAGACGTCTGTGAAAAGAAGATTCTAGTCTTTCTGCCATCTTCTTTCCATAAGCGGTGCATGGTGCGGTTATACTCTGACAGCAACACTTCTCCACTTACATTTTCCTAGAGAAGCATGTTGGCAGACACAGGAAAATTGGCTATTTTTTTTTACCTGATCGGGTACGACTGAATTTTAAAAACTAGTTACATGTTAAAGATGTTTGACCAAACCATCTGTTTTGGCAGAACTTAAAGCTAGGAAGCAACGATATACTTCATATTCCAAAGACTTAGATGGCAGTACTGTGTAGCCTCCCAAAAGCAATATGGTTATGTTGAAATTAGCTGCTTTAAAAATCTTAATAAATGTACCTTCAAATGCTGTTGACATATTGTTTCTATCATATTTACAAGTTATGTCATTAAAATTTTAAAGTTGCCGAAAGCTGCCTCCACCCCTCCTGGAAATCATGTGGCAAATAATGTCTTATACACATACATATACATACACATACAAACAGGTGTCCACACTTTCATGACCGAATATGTGCTAGCTACAAGCTATTGCCTAAGTCTGTTTGGATACTGGTGGAAAATGAACCAGGTGACAGGTGAAATCCAGTTGTTTACTGAAGCTACTGCTTTGTATTTCTGGGTCTAAGTTTTCTTCTCTGTTTAAATGAGGGATGAGACCAAATGATTGCTAAGTCACTTGGATTCCTAAGTCCCTAATATTCGAAGTCCTAATGTCCTCTGGACATCCTATTAAGCAGTGTCAAACAAGTCAAGCAGTGAAAAGTGAGGATTACAGGTACTATATTTACAAACTCTTAATCAGACATTTAACAGACTGAGCACACCATACAATTCTACACCATATATTCCACCTAGCTTCTAAGGTTTCTCAAGCAGCACAATGACATTCTAAGCAGTAGCAGTAAGGATATTATCAAAGGCAACCAAATGAATGGGATTTGTACCAGAGAATCATTTAGACAAAACAGTCTAAATGCACTCACTCTGAAGGCAAAACCAGTTTCATGTCTATGAGGTCATTCAAAAATATGTCCTTGTGCTATACCTGATTCTTTCTCTGGTAAAAGGGATGGTCTCATTGTCTTTCTTCCAGTAGAACACAGGGGTGGCATGCCCACCACACGACACTCTAGTCGAACAGGATGGCCTTCAGGCACACCGCTGTTTTGTAGTTTCTCTAGGAATACGGGTGCTTTCTTCACTTCTTTGGCTAGACAAGAAAAGTAGAGTTATTTTCTGACAAGTAAGTATCCTAATACCTTTGTCTTAAGAGTCAATGGATGGATGTGTATTCCTCTGTACACCTCCCCACCCCAGGACATTCCTCTGGCACTTTGTACATCTATAATAAGGAATTCTTGCATTGATACACATTAAAAGTTTTTAAAAAAAAGAGTAGAGGGAATTCTCATTCTTGATCAATTAACTGTACCTTCTGTGAGTGAAAAAAAAGAGCAACACCAAGGAATTATTATACATTAATTGAACAAGTATTGATTCTCTCTGTCACATTAAAGGAATTGTACTAGGGTGCTATGAGGCCCTGGGTCCTTTCCCTCACTGAGCTTCTTTATGACTCTTTATGACCCCATCTTGGGGTTTTCTTGGCAAAAATACACGAGTGTTTTGCCATTTCTTTCTCCAGCTCATTTTACAGATGAGGAAACTGAGGCAAACAAGATCACATACATAGTAAGTGTCTGAGGTCAAATTTGAACTCAGAGATGAGTCTTCCTGACTCTAGGCCCAGCATTCTATGCACTATGGCGCCACCTAGTGGCCCATTTCTTTTATTGCTCAACACTAAATTTTGAGAAACCATATCTACTAAAAGCAAAGCTGCTACTTTTCATTTGAACTTATTTTCTGAGGGAGTTTCTTATTTTTTAAAGCACAAAACTGTTTCCTGAATGAATGCTCTTGGTAAGGTGCACCAGTTTCCTGGTCACCTTTTATCTAAGTAGCACAAGGCACACAAGGGGAGGATATGTCTGTTAAAGCTACCTTTAAGCATCTGGGTTCCTCCTTTCTAGCTGCTAATTTCTAGGAGTTACCAAATAGAAAAAGAAGAAGAAGAGATGAGCTCAAACCCCCAAACTGCTCTCTTCTCCCTACGATGGCATTCCCTAAAGCAGTGGTTCTCAAAGTGTGTTCCATGGACCTCTAGGGGTCCTCCAGACCTTTTCAGGGGGTCAGCAAAGTTAAAACTATTTTCATGATGATACTAAGACACTATCTGAAGACATAAGAATTCAACAGTCTTCCATTAAACCAGACTTTAAAGAGATTTGAGAAATTATGTAAAACAGTGTCACTTCTCACTAAATTTTTTGTTTTGGAAAATACTGTTACTCTTAATAAAGAGATATTTATATTAACATAAAATGGTTTTATAATTGTTTTTGAATTAATATTTTAAAAGTGTGCTCATTTAAATTTCTGATGCAGTAAATACTGATAGACTCCACATAAGCCAAAGCTCTTTGGTACCTTGATAGTTTTTCAGAGCATACAGGGTTTCTGGGACCAAAAAGTTTGAGAACTGCTATCCTAGAGAAAGCAGGAAAATACCCTGGCCTGGGAATAAGGAAATGCGCGTGCTCATTCTGGCTGTGCTATCGATCTGAGCAGTCATCCTGATTTCACTGTGACTCACTTGGCTAGTTCATCTGAAGCAGGGTAAATGTGAGTCCCTGCCCACCCATCTCAAAAAGAGGGTGTCAGGTTTCATTTCATCCATTCAACATCTATTTGTTTAACACCAATACTATACAAGGCACTAGGCTTTTAGCTCACTTCCAGAGAAATGAGAAGAGAGTGGGGAACACAGCCTTCACCACTGGGTTGGTGCAGAGTTAAGGAGTGGCTGAACTTGGGCCCCATGGCACAGAGGTCAATGGGATCTAGAGAATTAGCTCTGGTGAATACCTTGAAAATGAGATTAATCATCTGAACAACAGAGCTTACCTACTACCGTGAGCTCTAGACTGAATGAATTCTGTCCTGTTTTGTTGGTAGCAACACATGTGTAGGTCCCGGCATCCTTCTGGGTAAGAGGGTCGATAAGCAGAGAGTGGACTCCAGTCTCTCTAATCAGCATCTTGTGGGTGCTGTCTGGCAGGACGGGTTGGCCATTGAGCAGCCACATCAGTTCTGGGGGTGGTAAGCCACTCACCTAACAAAGAACAAGACAGCTGAGGCCAATGACAGATTGATGACAAGCTAATTTATCAGGTGGTTCAATCTCTTTATCCTCACAGCGCACAACACAGTGAGGGTGAACCTTTGAGCTACAGGGTAGTGTGGGCATGGAAACGCATTACTCAGGGTATTCCTGGACTTGTTTTCACAAAGAATGAGAGGCAGCTGTCATTAACTGTATTCCTCTCTCCTACCTGGATGTGATCAAATGAATCAGTTTAAAAATTTGTCATATATTACATAGACGTCATTCCTTGAACTTGGAGTACTACTACAGGTATAATTAGTAGTTCGTCATCATCATCATCATCATCATCATCATCATCATCATCGTCATCATCATCATTACAGCTAGCATTTACATAGTGCTTTACAAAGATCTCATTTCATCTTCTTACCACTCTAGGACTCAGGTGCTATTATTATTCTCATTGCTAGTAAATGCCTGAGGCTGGATTTGAACTCACATCTACCTGACTCCAAGTCCCATGCTCTATCCATGGCCCTACCTAGCTTCAATTCGGTTAGTTGAATTCATTAATTCATTAGTCATAGAACCATGGAATTTCTGAGAGGGAAGGAACCTTGGGGATCATCTAGTCCAGGGGTGGGCAACCTATGGCCTTGAGGCCACATGTGATCCTCTAGGTCCTCAAGTGCCACCCTTGGACTGAATCCAAACTTCACAGAATAAATCCTTTTAATAAAAGGATCGGTTCTGTAAAACTTGAACTCAGTCAAAAGACTGCACCAAAGGACCTAGAAGGCCACAGTTTCCCCACCCCGATCTATTTTATGAAGAGAAAACAGGCTCAGAAAAGTGAAGTAACTTACCCAAAGAGAAAGAGTGGGGACTGCAACCCATATCTCTAAGATTCTAAATAAATTCTTTCTCTTTTTTTAGAAATCTTGACTTCATTTAAAATATTTTAAAATTTAGTATTTATTTTTTCTACCTCTTCTTCCATTTAAAAAGAAAAGAAAAAGAAATGCTCATAACAAATATGCATAGTCAAAGAAAACAAATTCCTTCCAAAACACACGTCTCCATCAGCCTCTGATGCCTCTCCCCTATCAGTCAGGAGGCAGGTAGCACGTTTCATCATCAGTCCCCTAAATTGATGGCCAGGCATTGCATGGATCAGAGTTCTTAATCTTTCAAAGGTATTTGTCATTACAATGTTGTGACCGTACAAACTGTTCCCTTGGCTCTCTTCAGTTCAGTCAGCATTAGATCAGTCTTCCAGGTTTCTTTGAAATCATCCCTTTCATCAGTTCTTACGGTATGCCAGTATTCCACTCCATTCATGTACCATAACTGGGCCACTTCCTAATAGGTGGGGACCTTAGTTTCCAGTCTGGGGCTACTATGAAAAGTGGTGCTATCACTATATTTGCAAGTGTGTCCTTTTCCCCTTTCTCTGATCTCTTTGGGGGTCTTGGCACTGCTGCTCTAATATACCATGTTGCTTCCCACTCTGTTTGGGAGGAGGGAACTTGTGGCTGGGAGGGAGGCAGATGAGGCTTCACATGGAAGATGGCATCTGAGTTGCATCTTAGAGGAAGAGAGAGAGGATGATATGAGGCAGAAGGAAGGAGGGAGGGAGTGGGAGTGTTGTGAGTTAGGAGAAGAAAGAAGTCCAGCTCAGCTGGATAGTGGACTATGAGAGAAAAGTAGTAGTCAATGGAGCTAGAAAGGTAGACTGGGGCCAGGTTGTATAGGGATTTAAAAGACAAACAGAGGAAAGATGTTTCATTGTGGAGGTAACAGGAAACCAGTGGAGTTGACTGAGACACATGGTCAGATCCAGGCTTAAGGAAAATGACTGACCACAGTATATGGTGTATAAAATGGACTGAAGTGAAAAGATACTTGAGGCAGGGAGACCAATTAGGAGTCCCTTGAAATAATCTAGGTGAGAGCTGATGAATGCTTGAACTATGATGGTAGTTATGCCAGTGGAGAGAAGAGGTTAGGTACAAGAGATGTTGTGAAGGTAGGAATGGCGAGATTTAAGTTAACTCATTGCAGATTTGCTGGAAGGGAGAGTGAGGAATGAGGAAAATGCCTAGATTACAAAGCTGAGGAACTGAAATGATGGTGATGCCTTTGATGGAAACAAGCCCTCCCCTTTGAAGAGGGAAGGATTTGGAGGAAGAGATGATGAGATCAGGGTTAGACATGTTGAGTTTAAGATGTCTCCAGGACATCTAGTATGAAATATGCAATAGGCATTTGGTAATACAGCACTGAAGCTCAGGGGAGAGACAGGCTAAATAAGTAGACTGGGAACTGTCATGCTTGTAGATTACCAATAGTAGACAGGGAATCACAATCTTCATACTGTTGAAAATTAAACCCGTGGGAGTTGATGAGGTTGCCAAGAGAAAGCCTATCAAGGGACAAGAGAAGAGGGACCATGACAGAACCTTGAGAAACACCCACAGCCAGGGGATGTGATGTGGCTGATAATTCAGCAAGGGGACTAGGAGGTCAACTGTTCAATTCTGTCTATAGTCAAAGACACTCTTCATTCATCTGTGTAAAAATGCTTGAGAGGCATTTACTAGTTTTGATGTCTTAAGAAACTCACTTTCACATACCTTGACAATGATGATGTAATTTTTTCTAAAGTAGATCTGAGAATAAAATGTTATGGGTTTAGTAGAATATTTTCATATGGTATGAGTTTTTAAAAGACAAATTTCCTAGAAGTAATTGAAGGGAAGACAGAAATGCTACCTCTCCCCTGCCTGGAAAGCAAAAGTGGTTAGATCAAAGAACAGGAACATGCACCCTACCTTACAGTCCAGTCTACAGAGCCGTCCCTCATGAGCAACCATGTCACCAGGAGCCTGAAGAAAATGAGGCCTGAAAAATCGTTCCTGTAAAGGTTCCTTATCTCGTTCTTGCATCCGGGCTCTCCCCCTGCAATACAACACAACTTCAGTTATGTATATAAAGTGTTTTATAAATCTTCAAATGACATATAAACTCCAGCTTCATTATTATTATTACTCTCTTATCTTCTCACCCTTTTGATGGAGTTGAGATAAAAAAAGACTGTGGACAAGTCACTATCCTGCTCCTATTCTTTTATATTTAATACTGTGTGGATTGTTGAAAGACTGACAAAATTACTTTTCCTTACTAAATTACGTGTGGAGGTGGCAGCTCATCCTCTGTGGGCTTAATGTGAGCATCTTTAGGACGGTGCCAATGGCAAACAGAATAGGACGACAGGAGTGATAGACACCTTTTTGTTTCCTGCATGGTTTTGATTTCTTCCACTAGATCTCCTTATTTTGAAAGTTTTTCATTCCAGGAAGTATAAAGATTGTGAGTGTTTATTATAGGAATACCTTTTAAAAACATTGTTCTTAAATTTTTTTACATAGAGGTGATTGAAGGTCAGGTTTTGTTTATGATAATACTCCAGTTCCAGGACAGTGTATTTGTTGAATTTTTAAGGATATCTCAATATCTGTATTTGTCAAATAAAGACTGTTGCATGAGTTTATGAAAGATAATGAGCTTCTGATGTGTAATTATAGCCACCATTGTCACGCCTTGCTAAATATTCAGTACGTGCCACATTTTTCCAACCTGCACAATTTCTGCCCTTTTCTTCCATAATTGGCATTTATCAATAGGTTCAATCCCCTTAAAGATAACCCACATATAATTTTTGGTGCTGATGACTAATCCCAAATTGCCATCATAAACCCCTCAGTTTTTATTTTAAACATCTCTGTGAACAAGCCATTTGTTCAATGCTTCTTCGTTGACATATCGGTTGAGCTCCTATGAACATTAGCCATGGAAGTCCTTTTGATTTCACTCTTGGATCTTAGCTATTTCATTGGCTCCCGGTGGAAGTGAACCACTTGACAAATTGACAAAAAAAATGTATTAATTATCAGCCTTCATTATTGCCTAGTTAAGTGAAGTATATTCCAAAAGCATTTCAGTACATTTTTAACCTACTTATCATGTATTCTGAGAACTTTTATCAATCCTCTTCTTCCTTTTTAGCCATCATCATCATCAATTATTATTTTCAGTGCTCAGGCATCAAAAATAACTTTCCAACCCATTCTAACATAGTTTTGTTTGTTTTTGGCTGGGCAATGGGGTTAACACAGCTAGTGAGTTTCAAGTGTCTGAGGCCGGATTTGAACTCAGGTCCTCCCGACTCCAGGGCTGGAGCTCCATCTACCGAGCCACCTAGCTGCCCCATTTCTAACATGTTTTCAGTTGGTTCATAGCTCATTCCTGTTTGCAGATGACCTTGTGATCATTGCATTAAGTCCTAAAATACTACAGGGCCCCTGCAATGAAATCTGCAGACACTCAAGGGTTGGCTTAGAGATCCAAACAGAAAAAGCCAATTGGATGAAGCATACATGTTGTCCAGTTTGTAACACACAGATTTTCCAAAGGAAGGTAGAAAGATATATATTGGGCATAAGCATACTGCAATACATGCCACCAGTGGTCGCTTGTGGGAGAAATGTGGCAGAAAAGATTAGCTGGAAAAGGAGATAAGCTAGTCATGTACTAAGAGTGGGAAACAAAAACTGAATGGGCTCCAATCTCTGTGAAACATCAAAGACCTAGAAGAAAGCCTTCCATTGGTGGAGAGAGCCTTTACAGAGGACCTATGGAAAGACACAGGCGAGAAAGGCAGAGGATGAGACCATGTGGCTGGGTCTGAATTTGTGCTGACTAAGGGCATCCTACAAGGATGAGACCACAATCCATCAAAGGACTGACAAATGTTAACACATGGCCCTGGTGATGTCTGCTGTGTGTGTGTGTGTGTGTGTGTGTGTGTGTGTGTGTGTGTGTCTGCACAGTGCACACATGTTATTTTAGGATCAGCCCAGGAAATCTAAAGACTCCTCCCCAGAAAGTTTGCCACCAAGGGACTCTATGGTCCAAGTTAGTGGAAGGAGTACTCCTACTGATGAAATACAAGTCCTTCAAGTGTGGAGGCACCCTAAGAGGTTTACTATGGGGCTCAGAGGGAATATTTTATTGTGCTGGGTTATAAACAAGTTAGAGAAAACCCGATATGAGGTTAGGATCACAGACAAAGTGCTAAGTGTGTCTCTGATGATGCAATAAGATGATCTTAAGAGATCTGTCACTAGATAAACCAGGCTGTGGCTCCTTTTCTCTGATGTTAAATGCCAATGGGTTACATGCCATTGCTCTCTTAGCTCTGGCTTTCAACAGTTGTACTTGTTCAAAATAAATAAATCAGCATTCAATCCAAATCTCAAAATCAGAGCCAAAGGAGAAGCCCCATTTACTACCTAGGACAAGGCAGCTGTACTTTCCAGGCTCAGTGAGTAATTAAACTAACTATGCCTATAAATATGACAGATCATTTTAAAAACTAAAATGGTTTACAAACTTAAAATGGAGGGAACAAACTAATAGTAACAGCTGTACTTTTTTCTTTTAAAGCAATCTGCATATTTATTCTTTATTAGTATTGACAGTTTTCGACACCACAGATACTCCCCCCACAAAAACAGCTGAAGAACACCCCCCCAGCACTGATTGCACAATACCACTTAAGAGTGATTATGACTGATAGCACATGCTTTTTTCAGTTTATGCATTATTTACAGAAAGGAAGTGTGCTTTAATAGCTTGGTACCAACTTCGTCCATGTATTCGACCTGAGTTGTGTTGCCTTTTAGTGTTAGCTTTTTTGACTTTCTAGTAACTGTTGGGTATATTGTTCTTTTACCTGTCTTCTTTATTTGTCACTTCTTATACAGCTGCACTTTTTTAAAGGTATGGTTGCCACGGTGGTAAAATGCAGTATGTGAAATATCTGAAATGTGGGTCACTATTTCTGTTTCTCTGATAAGTCATATTCATTCACTCTGTGTCAGCAGCTGTCGAATGTCCTGCTAGAACTTTGTGGCACCAACAGACTCTGGAGAAAAGCAGGCTCTAGACTTTTGACTTGAATCATCTTCATAAAAAGAAGGGAATTTCTTGCTCTTCTCAAGCGCCAATTAGGCACCTGCTATTTATATTAGCAAAACACAGTGGCTCTGCTTATGAGATCTGGGGTCCTATAAGCAGCCATCAAAACGTGTTGTTGTCTCTTGCGCTGAAGTGGAGCCAGCTGAAAGGGCCTGTTTTACATACTGTGTATGTATTCCTCAGTGTTACAAAAGTCTTGAAGCATCCCTTTAAAAAGGAGTTACAATTTCTTAAAAGAGAGACATACGTGAGTTACAGCTTGATCATTTTGCTTACCTGTGAGAATGAGTTGGGGTCAGTCGAGCACGCAGGGGCAGAGTCTGCACCATCAAGTGGCCAGAACAGCTGATTCTCCCCTAAGAAAGGAAGAAAGAACGAGCGCACCAAGTAGGATGAGGGCCATCCTGCGCTTGGTTGTTTCTATCAGGTTTGGAGCTGTTTAGCTGAGATCTTACAAACTGTTTTGGGAAATGAAAATGCTGCAATTGCTTATGAGGAGCTCTTCCCAACACAGTCTCTATTTGTATCCCTGGAAACAGACATAACTCAGAAATTGGCAGTCGGCATTATCTGGTCACCCACATTATGGATATTGATAGAGCATGGCCAGGTTCTCGGCCTTCCCTCCCTGGCTATACACTGCTTCTCTATCTTTCAAACAGATTTCAACCTGAAGAAATACGCAGGTCAAGTCTGGAAACAACATGACAACACTATTTTGTAGCTTTTCTACATTTCTTCTCTTAGTAATAGTTGAACAACTACAAGATATATTGTAAATACAATGTAAATTAGACATTATACAATTATAAGTTACAATGAAAATCACAAGATACATTATAAATACAATGTGAATACATTGTTGTCATGTAATCAGGCCGACTTTCAATTTTTTCCAAATAGTTTGATCATTTATTCTTCGAAGAGTAAAAACAAATATATTATTATGGTCATTGTTCTATGGAATTTTTTTTTCAATTAACTCAAAGAACTGGCACATCCAAGATTTTATCCTACTAGCCTAGAGGAAATATATAGTAAATGAATAACAATAGAAGGAAAAGTAGTAGGATATGTTGGAAAAAGCATAGAACTTGGAATTAGGAGGGACCTAAGTTTGAATCATGCTTCTGATGCCTACTAGTTGTATGACCATGGATAAGCCATTTATTCTTCTCTGAGCCTCAGTTTTCTCACCTGTAAAATAGGGTAATAATTACATATATATCATTGTATGTATTTATATATAAAATGTGTAATATATTATGTTAAATATATAACACCTTCTCTATATGCATTATGTGTGAGTGTAGTATTTACTTCGTAGTGTTGTTGTAAAGGTCAAACGAGAGAAACAAAAACACGAGGGCGGAGCTTGCTCCTCACTCCCTGGGGAAGCAGGAGCAGAAAGGTAATGAGGAGTTGATCTTGTCAGGAGGCAGGGTCTTATGCACTATTCATATGAAGCCATGACGTTTCACCTTCATTTTCCTAACTAGTTCTGGGTAACTAGGCAGTGTCGAACGTTTCCCTCAAAATGAAATAAGTTACCTTTCCCTCTCTATAGTAAAGAAATTCAAAGTACCCAACTTTAATTCAGGGATTGAGGAGCTCTTTGAAAGTCTCTACCTGTGGGTTAGCGGCCATGATTGTGTAGTTTCCATCATCGTCACTGGTGGTTGAGTCAATGTGCAGAGAACACGTCCCATCCCCCTCTCTCTTCATCTTGCAACGTTTATTTTTTTTAGAAATTTGTTTTCCATCTTTGAACCAATAAACCTGAAGACAGAGAGAGAGAGTAAAGAACACAGCCTTTGATGCCTGGGGAGAATGATAAGCAAGGTAAGGCAAAAGACCTGATGTGGAGGCAATTATCTCCATACAAATGGCCAGTCTCTTAAAATAAGTGTTCAGAACATGGATTTGATAAAAAGCCAAACATTTAAAATGTTAATTTTGTAATATAATCTGTAATATATATATAATTTGTAATATATACATAATTCATATTTGAAAACAGAATTTCCAACCCAATGAGATTGTCAGAGTGGCTTAAAGGACAGCGAGCTGAGATAGAGTCAGACCTAAGTGCTAAACCTTTCTTGGACCCTTACAAGTTGTGGGACTTGGAGAAAGCTATGTAATTTCTATGAACATTAGGTGTTTTACTACGTAAAATGGGGATGCCTCACACCTAATAGGGTTGTTGCATGATTCAAATGAGATTACATGTGTAAATGTTTTGCAAATGAAATCTGCTACATAAATATGATTTGATGCTGAATGGAACCTAGCAAAGTCATACACTTAAACTGTTGGGATGACTGAAAATTTACGTTGTCTAATCTCAACTGGGCCTTCTCTGCTGGAAGGCAATCTTTTTTATTCCTCTCAAATTTATTTTCTATCCCATCTCCCATAGAGGCTCTTCTAACTGTTCTCTCCTCAAATTTCCCATGTTTCTCTTTCCACTCTCTCAGGTGATGACCTTTTCTCATACTTTACTAAGAAAACATATCATTTCCTAAGCCCATGATATCACCCCAAATTCCATCCTTAACTCTAATCCTTCTCCTGCAAAGTCCAACTCCTTTACATGTGCTTGTACTTGTGATCCCACCCTCTCTCTTCTCTAGCACATTGCTCCCACAATCATTTCTCCCACTTCTTTAAATTTCATTCTCTCCCTATGACTGATTCTTTCCCTTCTGCCTACAAATATATGAATGTCTGTTCATCCTTAAAAAACCATCCTTAGATCGTATTGGCTAAGGGGATCCTCTACCTATCAACCTATATTTCTCTTCTCTTTCCATAATCACCAAATGTAGATGTCCCCTTGAGCTGTATCTCTTCTCTTCTTTGTCTATATCACCTTATTTGGTGAGTTCATTAGCTCCCATACATTCAATTATCATCTCTCTGCAGATCATTCCTAGCTCTATATATACAGCCATAATCTGTCTCCTGAGCTACAGTCCAGCACTAGCAGCTACCTTTGGGACACCTCATGTTGGATGTCCTATTGGTATCTCAAGCTCAATATATGTTCAATGCACTTTATAAATATCATCTCATTTGATCCTCACATCAACCCCCATTAGTTTATCAATCAATTAATTAATTAGGCTATTGGAGTTAAGTGACTTGACCAGGGTCACACAGCTAGTAAGGGTCAAGTGTTTGGTCTGAGGTAAGATTTGAACTCAGGTCCTCCTGATTTCAGGGCCAGTGCTCTATCCACTGTGCCACCTAGCTGCCCCAACTCCTTTTACAGATGAAAAAACTAAGTGAGATAGAGGTTAAATGACTTGCTCAAGGTCACACAGAGAGCAAGTGTCTAAGGCTGGATTTGAACTCAATCTTTCTGACTCCAGGTATAACACTCTATCTACTGTGCCACCTAGCAACCTTTACACAGACTTAATTTAAATAACACTCATTATCTTTCCCTCAAACCCTTCCCTCTGACTCCCCTTCCCAACTTCCCTAGTATTGTCAAGGATACCACCATACTCCTAGTTAGCCAGGCTTGCAGCTGGTGTTACCCTCACCCTGCCCTTGTACTGTCTCCACACCGCCAACCTCTTGTCAAGTCCACCCTGGTGTGGGCCTCACACCTGGAATGCCACAATTGTCCTCCCTCCCTCAAGCGTCTCCTCACTCCAGTCCACCCTGCACTTTATACTAAAGCTCAGGTCTAATCATTTCACCTTCTCCCTCCCTCCACTTGTTCCTTGTTTACCTCCAACACATAAAACCCTCCGCATGGCATCTGAAGGAAGCTCCACCACCTGGCCCCTTCCTATGTGTCCAGTTTTCCTCACACTTCACTCCCTTCCATGTACTCTGCAGCTGAGCTACACTGGCCCCCTCGGTGCTGCTTGAACAGCGCCATTTTGCTGGGTTTACCCTATCCCTGGCATGCTCTCTTCCTCATTTCTCCTTTCTGGTTTTCCTGGCTTCCATCAAGACCCAGTCCAAATCTCACCTTCTGCAGGAGGCCTTTCCCAATCCCCCTCAGTTCTAGTGCCTACCCTCTGAGATGATCTTCCCTTCACATCATATAGATGTTGCATGCACTTAGTTATTTACGTGTTGTCTCCTGGATTAGAATGGGAACTACTTGAAGGCCAGGACCGTGTTTTTGTCTGTCTTTGCATCCCCAGTGTAACAGTGCCTGGCACATGGTAATCACTTAATAAATGCTTGTTGAATCCCACTGTCTTCAACTTCCTATCCTCTTCCTGAAATCTGGCTTCTGTCCTAGTCACTCAACTGAAACTCTGCTTTCCACAGTTAACAATAATGTCTTAATTGTCAAATCTGACGACCTTTCTCAATACACACCCTTGTTGACCTCTCCATAGCATATAACACTGTAGACCACCCCGTCCTCTTGGCTACTCTCTCCTCTTAGGGATTTTGTGGCAGTATTCTCTTAGTTCTCCTTCTACCCATCTGATCACTCCTCAATCTCCTTTGTTAGATTATTATCATCGTTCATATGACCCCCCTGACTACAGATGTACCCCAAGTCTTCGTCTCAGGACCGCGAAATACGATATACTTGCTGCTCTAAAGAATGGCTCACTAGGGATCTCATCAGTTCCCAGGGGTTCAGTCATCTCTCTACGCGGATGATTCTCAGTTCTATTTATATACCCCCAACCTCTCTCCTGTGCTCTACGCTCACATCATCACCTACCTGCCTGCTGGACATTTTGAACTACATGTCTCACAGGTATCTCAAATGCAACATGTCAGAAACAGAGCTAAATCTCTTTCCCCCCAAAACTACCCTTCTTCTGCACTTTCCTATATCTCATATGGGTACCACAACGATTCCACGTCATCTCTGCCTCTTCAGTTTATCTACAGACAATCACTTAATTGTCAAATTCAGACCCTCTACCCTCATAACATCTGCATCTGTGCCCTTTTCTCTACCCACTCAGATGCCACACTACTGTGGGGCTTTGCTACCTCTCACCAGCAGAACAACAGCCTTCTCACTGGTTGCTCAAATCTCTCTCCCCTCTTGTCCACCCTCCACTCAGTTGCCAAAATGACTTTCTTAATGTTCAGCTCTGACCATGTCACTCCTATAATCAGTAAACTCCAGTGGCTATTATCTCTGGGATTAAATAGAAAGTCTGTTTGGCATTTATGCTATGGCTCAAATCATCTTTATAACCTCACTACATCTTCTCTCCTTTATGCACTCCTTGGTCAGGTCATACTTACCTTCTTCCTGTCCCTCAGACACAGCCCTCAGTTTCCTGCCTCCGCACCTTTGCACTGGCTATAGCCCATGCTTAGAAACCATTCCCTCCTCACCTCTCCTTCTTTGAATCCCTGTCTCCGTTAGGTTGCAGGTCAAGTGCCACCTTCACAAGGCACCTCTTGATCCCCTACGCTAGTGCTAAGGCCTCACCCCCACCCCACCCCTACCCCCCCTCACCTGGTATCTACTTAGCCTGTGTCTGTAGATGTCTTTACCTCCTAGCACTTATCACAGTGTCTTATCATGTAGACACTTAATAAATACATGTTGATTGATAGGCATTTTTTTTTATCATATTTCTCTCTGAGTGCACACTCACCCCCTTGTGACTAGCCTATTTTCCACCCTCCTTTTCAGAGTCTGGTTGTTTATAACCTTCAAGAAGCAAGGTTTCTCTCTAATGGATGACGGGCACTCCCTTACCTTCGGAACAGGTATTCCAACAATTTTGCAGGTGAATGTCACTGGAGAGCCTTCTGTCACCCGGAAGTGCTTGAGTCTCTTGTCAAAGATGGGGGCAATGCATTTGCCTGTCGGGATCTCATCATGCTGGATTTCATCATCAGATTCATCCACAGGGGTACGTTCTAAACGGAACTCTATTTCATTCATTAGCCTCTGCTCAAAGCTTGAAATCTTGTATTCCTGTGAAAATAGCAAATTGGTTTCAATCTGAAGATTCTTCCCTGAACATGAAGGAAACAAACTGCCTGTTAGCATGATTTAGAGATATACATATTGAAGATGCTATGTCCTTATGTCAATGTTATCATGAATGAATATTTAAGAAAATCCAAGTTAACTACTATAACTGGGAATCCCAGTCCTACTCTTTTACTTTGGACCCTTAGGAGTCATGTTGGAAGACCACAGTGAGGGGTGCCCAGTAGCACTACCCCCATCCAAACTTATAGAATACTGACTTTTGCTCTAGGGCATGAAGCCCTAATGAGATCCAAGCTATATGGAGGGATTGGGGGTGGGGTGAGGTGGAATGAAGGTAAAATAAAATCCTTATCATTATGTGCAAAAATACCCAATTTCAGAGGAATACTATGTTCTTAAGCTTCATGAAGTGTTCTTAAATACCTATCTCCACCTGCCTATCAGACATCTCAGACTGGATGGACAGAGTTCTCAAACTCAACGTGAAGAGACAGGCGTGGTGATGAACAACTGGCAGCGCTGTGAGCTGGTCCCGCCCTTCTGGACACTAATTTGTGACTATACTCCAAAAGTTAATATCACTGCTAGCTCTACAACCCAAAGAGATTTAAAAAAAGATGAAAAGAACAAAAGAAAGGATGCCAGCGAGAGAGAAACTACAAAAAAAAATTAAATTGAATTTTTACAAAGATAAGGAAGGAAAGAATACACGAGGGGCTTAAACTCTTGTTAAAGAACTTGAGAAAAAAGATTTCATTCCATTGGGATACGGTGAAGGTGAACCTGTACCTTATGGGCATTAGGTTGTAAAGTCAAGCTTTCAAGGCACAAATCAAAATCACCTTTGAAACCTCTTAAATTGATGAATAAGGACAGTATAGGTTTCTTGAAAAGAAGCCATTTAAGATCTGAGAGTGAATGGCTGGTTGCTATGGAAATGAATGAATGTAAATTTTATTTTTCCTTCTACCCAGCTAAATTATTAGGAGAGAAACAGGAATCAGAACTTCTATTCAGATAGAAGACAATAAAAACAGGTAAAGATAACTGGTAGGAAAACGGATGATTGGAGGGAAAATTCTATTGCAAAAGCTTCCCACAAGTATGATTATCCTGGAGTGCTGTAACACCACCACTTAATAGTTTCTCTTTCCTGCTTCACCTGACGTTGAAGAGGTGACATCAGAAAGTGAAAGGGGATACTGCAGGGTGCTTTTAGTGACCTGGCAATCCTAGAAAGAGCAATCATGGCTGTCCTCATTACCTCTCCCAGCCCACATTTAGAAATATCTCTAGCACAGGCAAGAGGAGAGTGGCGACCAAGAGAACAGCAGATTCAGCTATGTTCCTTTGTATAATATTGAGCAAGTCCTTTTCTCTCCCCAGGCCTCAGCTTCCTTATCTGTAAAATGAGATTGAACTTGATGGCCTCCAATTTTCCTCCCAGCATTAAAAGAAATCTTGGTTCGGGCTTTCAGTCAATAAGGCAAACTCAACTCGGGAGATAAGACAAAAAGAGTTTATCAGCACACAAAGCAATTTCCATGTAAGGATATCTTAAATAGGGCCTGGCTCTACTACTGCTTGCTTACAAATTGGACAAATGTAAGCTTCAACATTCAACTTTGCACAAACTTTGCCAAATACCACAATTAACTTACACCTGACATGAAAAGCTGCCAATGAATGCCCTTACCTGCTGGCATGCTCGAATGTCACTGAAATGCATTTTTTTTTCTAAGTCCTGAATCACTGCAGCCTTCTTTTCACGAATATGGTCATCTGTCACTGGCTGAGGAGACTTTAGATTTTTCTTTATCACTCCCTGGGGTGACCTGTGAAAGAGATCCATAGTTAACATAGCAATGAAAAAATACTGGCCAATTATGAAAGGCTGACATAAAATTAGGGTGACTCAAATAGAAAGTAGAAGGCTGAACAAGAATCAAGTGGTGGACTTATTGTTACATTTAATATATCCTACCTTCAGTATAAATACTTCATACTCTATCTTTACTAAACTGCCAAAGTGATATTCCAGAAGTACAGGTCTGACCATGTCCTTCCCCTTTAAAAAATGAAAACCAGTGGCTTCCTATTACTTCTAGGATTAAATGTGAACTCCTCTAGCATTTAAGGATTTTTACCACCTGGTTGCTAACTCCCTTTCTATCCTTAAGATACATTACTCCCCTTCACACAAGTCTAGCCGAACTAGCCTTCCTGTGGTTTCTCCTAACATGAAATGTCATCTCTCATCTCCGTGCCTTTGCCCAGGCTGTCTCCTGCACCTGGAATGCACTCTCTTCTCACTTTTGTCTCTTAGAATCACTAATTTCCTTTAAAGCTCAGCTCAAAACTCACCTCATCTTTCTTAATACCCCTAGTTGCTAATTCCTCCTCAAAATTACCTTGTATTAATTTTGTACACATATACTTGTGTCCATGATCTATCTCACTGTAGAATGTAAGTTTTTTGAGGGCAGTGACTTTTTCATTCTTGTGTTTGTATTCTGGATGCCCCACATAGTGGCAAATAGTGGGCATTTAATAAATGCTCATTAATTTATTCTTTCACTCATTCAACAAATATTTAGGAAATGATTACAATTGGGAGAGGCTGAGCACCATACCAACTATATATGGTGGTAGAGTACCTCTGAATTTACATATTCTTTTTGTGTGCCTGGCACATAATAGGTGCTTAATAAATGCTTTTAAAAATTAATTAGTTAAGAATTAATCAATGTGCACATCCTGTTTCCTAAACTAAATTTCACGCTCTTCTTGGTGAGGGACCTTCCCTTCCACCTGTCACATCTTCTCAGCAGGTATTTGTGGGAGCAGCAAGAGGAGATAAAAAAAGCAGAGTAAGCAGACTGCTCTGGTAAGCAGTAGTAGAGGCCAGCTCCTACAGGAAGCCTTCCCTACCGGCCTCTTAAGTCCTGTGCCTTCCCTGGTGATTAATTCCTATTTATTGTGTAGATTGTTTATACATATATATAAATAAAATATGTATGTATGTATATGTATGCATATATGTATATATACACGTATTTGTTCGCATGTTGTTTCTGACGTTAGATTGCAAGCTCCTTGAGGGCAGGGACTCCCTTTATCCTCTTTTTGTATCCCCAACTGGCACAGTATTATTGTTCTGTCGGGTCTGACTCTTCGTGATCCTGTGGATACTGGAGTGGTTCGCCATTTCCTGCTCCAGTTCATTTTACAGATGTGGAAACTAAGGCAAACAGGTGACTTTCCCACAGTCACACAGCTAGTGTTCCAGGCTGGATTTGAACTCAGGTCTTCTTGACTTCAGGCCCAGAGCTCTATGCAATATGGCGCCACTTGGCGCCTCCCCACACACAATAGGGGGTTGACAGATAACCAAGAGAGAAAGGTTTTTGCAGCCCGTGGAGTTTTGAAAACTCACGAGACCCCGGCCTCCTCATTGGTGGAGAGGCGCCCCGCCCTTCCAGAGGGCCACAGTCCTGGCTCATCCTGTGGACTCCATCTCTCCTCAAGCGGAGAATTCTGGAGGCAGGAAGTGGGGGGGGGCGGGGTCCCCCCCCTGCTTATCCGGGCCCTCAAGGACCCGCCGCTCCAGGAGAGCGAGCTAAGACCCCCAAGGATACCGGGCTCTAGTGAATGAAGAGAGGCCCGCCTCCGAGGGCTGGTGAGCCAATGAGAGCACGCGCCGCGAAGGGCGGAGCCTCGGAGGTGAGCCAATCCTGTCTCCTCCCAACACGTGCGTCCTGCGAGGAGCGCAGGGCGCCCCACTGTAGCGCTCCTTCCCCAGCCGAGGCCATTTGAGGGGAGGGGTCCTGTGCACCTCTCTCTAGACAAGGGCACCGCCCAGGGGCGGGGCTGGGTGCCATCGGGCCCCTCCCCCGCCGGGTCTGAGCCCCGCGGCCCTCCACTTGCTCCAAGCTTGGCTTCAGGTCTGAGGCTCGTGGCCAGGGTATTTCTGGGTCACGCATGGGGCAGCCTTCCTCGAGCTAGGCTGAAGAACGGCGTTTTCTTCCGTGGCTGAAGTCCGATCCCCCGCTCCCCCCAATAATCTTCGCGAGGTGCCCCGCACACGGTCTTGCGGGTTGTCTCCCGTCAGAATGCGGGATCCTCGGGACAAGGGCCATCTTCTGCCCTTCTTTGTATCCCCAGCGCGCTGCTCGTGATCTATGCTTGTGAACTGAGCTGCGAGGGGCAGATGGTGCCACAGAACGAGCTCACTTAGAAATGCTCCGTCCTGATCGTTCCTGGGGGGCTGCGGCGGACCCCCGGGCTCCTGAGCGCACAGACTCCACCTTTGGCTCCCCATAACCCATCTCCCACCCCCCACGAGGCGGCCATACTTACACAGACGGGGCACTCCTGGGCAGGCCCATGGCGTTGGTGGGCGGGATGGCGGGCAGGGAAGGGAGGACCGCACTGAGAAAAGCCACCGGGTTTTGAATCCGGCCTGTAGGAGAGACGGTAGTAGTGGGGGACACACAACGAGGCTGAAACTGGTTCCCACTGGAGACAGAGAATGTGAGTGGCGGCTGTGCGGGTTCTGCTGGACTGCTGAAAGGTTGTGCATTTTGATTGGAAAAGGTCCCTAGAGATCTCGTTGGCGCCGAGGAGTGCGAGCCCAGAAGGCTTTCCTTACTCGCCGTCCTCTGGATCGCTTGGACTGTGTTGCTGAAGGTGGACCCCGGAGAACCAGCAGGGGATGTGGCAGCCAGCATCGTACTGTGAGACTGGAAAAACTGCTTAGGCCGAGTAAAAGTGAATGTCTGTGCCCGAGGGGCCTTCACCTGTTTGCAGGTGGCTGCCACTGGCGGAGGAGCCATGGAGTTTGTCGTGCTTATGTTCAGAGGAAACTCTTTTGGAGATGAACAAGATGGAAACTGCAGCTGCTGTTGTTCCAATAAAACTTGGTTGTGAAGCTGTTGTAATTGACTGGAATCACTGCATGCAAAACAAAGATAGGGAAGAGAGAACGAGAATCTGTCACCATCTATCTGCTCCAGAAAACTTGTTCATAGGTTATTTACAGTGCATGGGATCAGGGAGCAAGTCAAACTGTTTGACCTCTACCTAACTTTGCTTAGTTGGGTTTTTGGTTGTGTTTTTTTTCCTACAAAGTGGAAAAGGATACTAGTTTTTCAATTGCTGTCATTTTCATTACTACCTCCTACTGGTATTCTTCCAAAGATGGATCCATGACCTCAGTAGAAACTGATCAGGCATATCATTTCCCCTAAGCCGAATACCAGCAGACTCATCAGAGACCACTCCCTACAATGCAAGCTGTACTTAAACCTCAAGGCAGTTTAGCTACTCAGTGACAGATGCATGAGTCATCCTTTGGAGAACACACACAGCAGGCTCCTTTCTGGAGACTTCCCAGAAACAGGTGGTGCACCAGCAGGTTATGCTGACACACATGGGGAGGATCCCAAACTAGCCCACTTGTGCTGCTCCTTCATAACAAGAACCAAACCTGAATCTTCTGTCTCCCTCTCCCTTCTCTCTTTACCCCTCCTTCCCTCTCCTTTCTTCTCTTCCCCTCCCTCTCTCTCCTCCCCTTCTCCATTCCCTCCCTCCCTCTCTCTGCATCTGTTTCTTCTGCATCTTCAATGCTGTGAAGGGCAAGCTCAACTCCTCCAGCAATGGCTGTGTTGCTTCCTTTGCTTAAATATGCACATAGTAACTGTATAGATAAAGTCAGTACATTCTCCTGGCACAAATGATTACAGGTTCCCTTTCTGCCTGTGATTCTACTGCATTGCCTTCACCATTGTGCTGAATAGTATTGGAAAAAGCCAATTACTATACCATATGGGACCTGCTATTTTGAAAGTCAATTCAATGTAATCCAGAGTTTTTGTTCTCCACTAGACTTACTGAAAACATATTTTTAATTAAAAACTTCAGGATCTTTCCTGCTTTAAGAAATTAATTTGGAAATTGCTTATAAATTACTTTTTGGCATAATTTTCTGAGGATAGGCATCCCTGTCAGAATAAATAGCTTCATTATTTTCAAATTTTGAAGACATAATGAATACAAGCTCATATGTGAATTTTTTGGGGCAAGATCAGCTGTAGGCAAAGTTGAGAATTAGGTGTTTTCTTCCCAGTACTCTGTGACTTCCAGTTCTGAGCTCATAAGTAGGTGCTCCCCGCCCCATTCACTTTAGGCACCCAGTCCTCTCATAGTCCCCCTTCCTCTTCACTTATTCTTATGAAAAGGGTGGAAATTTATTCATACTCAAGTACAAATGATTGATAATAGCATAAAATGTTACATCCTCTAATAGGGATCAAAGCCTTTTAAACTAACAGAATGATGGAAGTCTAGGAATCATCCATTTAGTATAGGAAGTATTTGGCAAGTAACAGAGAACCTTCCTGATTCCACCTAGGCAACTGATAATGCTACTTGTAGACCAGGGGTGAGGAACCTGCAGCCTCTAGGCCACATGCGGTCTTCTAGATCCTCAAGTGCAGCCTTTTGACTGAATCCAAACAGCCTTGAGGCTACAGGTTCCCCATCCTTGGTGTAGACTGACCTTGTTCTATTTGTTTATCCTTATCTTAGTTCAAATGTTCTAGAAGGCACTGCCTGACTCTTAATCTTCAATAAGCCAGCCTTCATTAAAAAAAAAGGGGGGGGGAGAAGGGGTAGGCTATAACATTGTATGATGATTTGTTTAGATGAATTTACTTTTATTGCCAAGGTTTGGCCTTCACCTGTTTTTCATTAATGTAGTTTTGGGCACTAGTGCTAGAATTTGGTTCTAAAACTCCAAACCAACACTTTAAGTATATGGCAGAGTCTTCTTTTACTTTTAGAGACTTAGATACCAAATTCATTACTTTAAATCATGTCAAATCCAAATTTGAATCCAATTTGGGTAAAGCAACTCTTAGTTTTATTCTTTTAGTCCTGTTAAAACTCTAGGGAACAGAGCTTATTCTGAATATTTTCAACTATTTTACATTTGAAGCAGGAAGAAAGGCAAAGTGTTAATGTGAATATGAGCAACCTGAATCCATACCACTAAAGTTGAATCACAAATTTTCTGAGAAGAGTTACTGTTAACTGTTAACCTAACCTAACCTTTAGTTCAAATTTAAGAGGAGCTGGCTACTATTTCTGGATCAGCCTATTTCAAGGGCGACTACATTAATGATACAAAACCATGTCTACTGGTGACATGAATGCAGGATAACCTATTCAAAACAAGTCATAGTTAATCAAGTATAATCTGTTTCAAACATATGGTGCAGGGCAGCTACTGGAGGCACCGTGTGTTCTCTTGAGCAGCGTAGGCACTTAATAAAATCTTGTTAATTGATTGGTAGGAGATACTTTATAAAGATCATGAGGGTCTGTTTCTTCCATAAACTCCATCCTGGAACATACCACCAAGAAGTTAGTCCATAAGCCCAGGCCATGAAAAAATCCTGGGCAAGGCCTAGAAGAAATCAGCCTGTGGGCAAGAATTTAAGTTAAAATGGATGTGATGGGAGGTGGGGGGAGAGAAAAGGCAGCAACTTATCCGAGTTCTCTCCCAAACCCCTCCAAACAATTCCTGGAGCAGCAGAACCCACAAAAGGACAGGGTGAAATAATTTTCCAGCCAAAAATGCTCAGAAGGTTGGCAGGAAGGGTCTGTCACATCTGGGTGAGAATGGAGCACAGTTTAGTGCAGGCCATGCTAGCCTAGCAAAACAGGAGCAGGCCTTGGGAGCCACTGAATCAGTAGCAGCAGCAGCTTCTTCCAGAGGTCTTGGCCCACAGATGGTAAGAGGGTCAAACACCTGGTCAGAAGGAGATTACAAGGGTCTCTTTGCTAGCACTGAGGCAGGATGCTATTGCTTTGCCCATACTCGGATCTGGGTGGCAGTCCCAGGGTGAGGAGAAGCAGTAGCACAACAGAGCTTGTGGCTGCAGTGGAGCAGGAATCCTTGTCACAGTTCCAGGGCAGAAAAGAGTGCTTGTGTCACTCACAGGCCAGAGCATAGGCAGGAGAGTGGTAAATACACTTCTCCTTAGATCATATCTTCTTGGAAGAACTGAAAACATGCAGGTCCCTAAAAGTATTTCTGAAAACAGCTGCACAAAACCCTTGAAGCTTGGGACACTGCACCCTCCACCCTGGAAGCAGAGCCCTATTTTTAACATAGAGTTAAAAGTCAAGAAATAGGTTGGAAAATGAGTGAACAACAGAAAAAAATTCTGACCATAAGTTGTGAACTGATCCAACCATTTTGGAGAGCAATTTGTAACTATGCCCAAAGGGTTATAAAAATGTGCATACCCTTTGACCCAGCAATAGCACTTCTATTCTGCATCCCAAAGAGATCATAAAAATGGGAAAAGGACTCACATGCACAAAAATACTTATAGCAGTTCTTTCTGTGGTAGCAAAGAATTGGAAATTGAGGGGATGCCCATCAATTGCGGAATGGGTGAACACGTTGTGGTATATGAATGTAAAGGAATACTATTGTGCTATAAGAAACGATGAGCAAGTGGACTTAAGAAAAACCTGGAAAGACTTATATGGACTGATGCTGAGTGAAGTGAGCAGAACCAGGAGAATGTTGTACACAGTTACAGCCACGTTGTGCCATGACTAACTTTGATAGACTTAGCCCTTCTCAGCAGTGCAAGGATCTCCAAAAGTCTCATGATGGAAAATGCTATCCAAATCCAGAGAAAGAGCTATGGAGTTTGAATGCAGATCAAAGCATACTATTTGCTATTTTTTTTCCTGTTTTCTTTTGTTTCCTTTTTCTTATGGTTCCTCCTATTGGTTCTAATTCTTCTCTACAACATGACTAATGTGAAAATATGTTTAACAGGAATGTATATGTACAGCCTATATCAGACTACATGTTATCTTGGGAAGGGATGTGGGGAGGGAGGGGGAGAAAAATTTACAACTCAAAAGTATATGGAAATGATTGTTGAAAACTAAAAATAAATTAATAATAAATTAAAAAAATTAAAAAAAATTAAAATATTCTGACCATAGAAAGTTACTATGGTGACAAGGAAGATCAAAACACACTCAGAAGAAGACAGCAAAGTCAAAATTCCTATGCCCAAAGCCTCCAAGAAAAATATGAATTGGTCTCAGGCCATGGAAAAGCGCAAAAAGGATTTTGAAAATCAAGTAAGAGAGGAAGAAGGAAAATTGGGAAGAGAAATGAGAGTGTTGCAAGAAAATCATGAAAAATTAGTCAACAGCTTGATAAAGAAGACACAGACATGCACACAAACAGCAAAGAAAACAACACATTAAAAAATAGACTAGGCCAAATGGCTTAGTACAAAAAGCCAATGAGGAGAAGAATACATTAAAAAGCAGAATTGGCCAAATGGAAAAATAGGCACAAAGATTCACTGAAGAAAAAAACTCCTTAAAAAGTAGGATTGGCCAAATGGAAAAGGAGGTACAAAAGCTCACTGAAGAAAATAATTCCTTAAAAATTAGAATGGAAAAAAAATAGAATGCAGCAATCGGAAGCTAATGACTTTATGAGAAATTAAGAAACAAAACAAAAACAACACAATAAAAATATGGAAGACAACATGAAGTATCTCATTGGAAAGACAACTGACTTGGAAAGCAGATCCAGGACAGATAGTTTAAAAATCATTGGACTACCTGAAAGCCATGATCAAAAAAAGGGTCTAGACATCATCCTTCAAGAAATTCTTAAGGAAAACTGCCCTGATATTCTAGAACCAGAGGGTAAAATAGACATTGAAAAAATCCACTAATCACCTTTTGAAAGAGATTCCCAAAATGAAAACTCCCAGGAATATTATAGCCAAATTCCAAAACTCCTAGGTCAAGGAGAAAATATTGCAAGCAGCCAGAAAGAAACAATTCAAGTATTGTGGAGCCACAGTCAGGATAACACAAGATTTAGCATCTTCTACATTAAA